CCAACTTCCTTGGTAGATAACTTGGATTGGGTCTCCAGGAATTTCCTGGAGAAGTTGGCATAACACTATAGCGTTCCGAGTGCGCTTCAAAGTGCTGGTTATGACCTTTAAAGCCCTATATGGCCAGGGACCAGCCTACCTGAGGGACCGCCTTTCCCCACATATGCCCCCAAGAGCACTACGGTCCGGGACTCGGAACCTGCTGGATGTGCCGGGTCCTCGGGTTGTTAAACTGGTGACGACCAGGAACAGGGCATTTTCGGTGGCGGCTCCTATCTGGTGGAACGAGCTCCCAGAGGAGATCAGGGCTCTGCGGGACCTAGCACAGTTCCGCAGAGCCTGCAAGACGGAGCTCTTCCGCCAGGCTTTTGAATAGGAGCCGCCGCCACCACCACTAGTGTACCACCACCACACTAGTTTACCATCTGAGCCCCATATATGGACATCTGGATAGGGGTATGTACCATCAATGCCCCATAATTGCTGCATTATGGTTGAGAACGGGACGTCCAGGGGGGGCGGCCATCTTGTTTCTAGAAATTGTAATTTGGAAATTGGAAATTAGCTGAAAGGAGCACCAAAATTGTTTTAATGGTGGTGTATTTTTAATATTTTGTACTGTTTTACTGTTTTATTTGGCGATGCGCCCTGTTAGCCGCCCTGAGCCTCCGGGGAGGGTGGGATAGAAATGTGAAAAATAAAATAAATAAATAAATAAAAGTTGTGAGGGAGCGATTTGGCTGCTGCATCAATTAGTTTGCTCTGGAGCCCTCCTTCCTGAGCTGAGACAAAAATGTGTGAGCCGGAGGCTAAAAAACTGTGAGCTAGTTCAGCTAAGACTGTCATTGCCACACACTGGAAAACGACAATGGCACCCACACTTTCACAATGGCATAATAAGTTGTGGGATTTATATATCATGGCTAGGGTTGCCAGTCTCCAGGTGGGGCCTGGGGATCTCCCGCTTTTACAACTGTTCCCCAGCCGACAGAGATCACCTCCCCTGGAGAAAATGACTGCTTTGAAGGGTGGACTCTATGGCATTGTACTATGCTGAGGCCCCTCCCCTCCTCAAACCACACCCTCTCCTGGCTCCACCCCCAAAGTCTCCAGGTGTTTTCCAACCCAGACTTGGCAATCCTAATCATAGCTAAACTCTCGGACAATCTTACATGTTTTGATAAGATTTTGTTGTAATCTGGTTTCCTATCTTAGAATACCTCTCTAAACAGCAAAACATTCCTAAAGTAATTGACGACCTCTGGTTATAGTACTGCTTCTACTATATTGCAATTAACTTTTATTGTCAGCAACTGCTTATAATAAGCTTTTGATATACCTATAGATGGTATCTTGAATCTCCTGTTTCCTTATTATTGATGTTATTATTACTGTTCTCAAAGAGCCAGTTTGGTGTAGTGGTTAAGTGCGCGGACTCTAATCTGGGTGAACTGGGTTTGATTCCCCACCCCTCGAAAGAGCTCTCTCAGCCTCACCTACCTCACAGGGTGTCTGTTGTGGGGAAGGGAAGGGAAAGGAGTTTGTAAGCCGCTCTGAGACACCTTTGGGTAGTGAAGGGCGGGGTATAAATCCAATCTCTTCTTCTTCTTCATGGTCTATATCTAGGTGATTTGATAATAGTTCCATGTATCTTATGCACTATTTGGTATTAGCTTGTATATTTACGTACCTGCAATATTGTTGTTACTTCTGCAAACTCAATAAAATTTACTGTATATAAAAAAACAAACAAACTGTGAGCTAGCTCACACTAACTCAGCTTAGAGGAAACACTGCTTCTAGTCAGGTGAGGTTCTTGGACTTTGCAAAATGGCTTCTGTGATCTTCCGAGCCGGCCTTCCCTGTTCTGAATTTATCCTGCCTGGAGCCCTGCTTGTTTTGGGACTGGAAGCCTCCAGACCGCCAACAACAGGCCTAAACTTCTGTGTTCCTTGAGGGGGTCTCCTCTTTTCCCATTCTGCAGTGAGTGAGGGAAAGCCTCTCACTCCGCCATCGCTCCGGACACCATCACGGAGTGGAGAGCCGACGCCTTCTGTATGGCAGATATCGGCCTCGGGATTGCCCAACCGGCCGCCTTCCGGGTCTTCCAGCCATTCTTTGTGGACCTGGCGCTGCCCTATTCTGTGGTCCGTGGGGAGACCTTTGAACTCAAGGCCACGGTCTTCAACTACCTGAAGGACTGCATCCAGGTGAGTGACCCCCATGTTGGGTAGAGGAGAGGACGGCTGCCCATTCGGAAGGAGCTCACGGAGTGGAGGAAGCGCTGTGAGCACCCCCTTGAAATGTTTTTGGGACTGTAGCAAATCAATCGATCCTATGCTAGTGTCGGGGTCCTTAGTCAGGTTACTCAACACAGGGCTTCATGAGAAGATAACTGTTTATTGGTAAATCCAGTACTATAGACACGTGTACAGCTTGTGTCAGGAATGGCCACCAATACTAGGGCCTCTGACTTATACTAGAATCAAACATCCCCCCGGTAAGCATGAGCCAATGGATACATCTCATGCAAGCAGGCAAAACAAGCAGGCAAAGCAAAAGCCGTTAACTTTCCCAGCCGAAAAAAACTGCAGCTGGAACATCTACAAGGTCAAGCATAAGACAGCAAACAGTTGGTGAGCCAGGGAGAGCTGAGACAGAAAATGGGAGGGCACCCCTCCACATTCCAGACCTATGACAGGGCTACCTGACAGCTAGTCTGCTCTGTGGCTGAGCTCTCACCTCCCCCCTTGAGGAAGGCCCCCGGTGGCGAGTGCCTGAGACAGGACGATCCCCCTCAATCGCTCGATTGTCGGGGTCCTCTTTCCCAGCCGGGAGCAGGCTGAGGGAGGTGAAGAGGAGGCCGAGGAGCAAGCCAGGAAGGGACCCACCCAAGTGCCGCCTCCCTCCCCTCGCTGCCAGGGAAGGCAAGGGCTGGAGGGGGGAACAGGAGGTGGCAGTGTGGCAGAGTCCCACATTCGGTTGGGTGATCTGCGCCAGCAAGTGAGACGTCAACCAGAGAGCAGGAGGCATCCCCACTACCCCGTGAGCCTCTCTGGATTGCCTCTCCCTCTTACACCCCAGCACGTGTCTCCATGGAGGAGGGGGGCAGCTCTGGGGGTGGAGGGCAGGGCAAAGGAAGCTCCCCCCTATGGCTCTTCCCAGGGGTCCTTTCATAGAAAAAAAGGTGCAGGAGCTCATTAGCATAACTTATTTGCATATGCCGGACGTGTGTCAGAAGGCGACACCCACTGCTCAGGCTCCACTGGACTGTTTTGGATTGCTAGCTATTGGGGGGGGATGCAGATCTGCTCTTGCAGATCCCCCATGGCCCACCCACCCCAATCAAGCCACCGCCGCTGCCACTACCCCACATGTGCCAGGAAAGGTGGGTGGCGGAGCTCTGGAGGCCTTCCCTGGGCTCTGCACCTCACCGCGAGGGGGGGGGGAGGCTCTGCAACTTACCTGGCTTTTTCTTGCTCCTCATGGCCCAGGGCTGTGTCAGAATCCACAGCCAACAATGAAGTACACGCATTCAGGAACGGTTATACTTTTATTGCAGAGCTATAGACGTAGTAACAGGCACTGTTAAGAATGGCGGTGGCCCCATGGGCATAATAGGATATAGGGTATTCGTATGCACCCCCACACACAGCACAGGCCAATTAGGCACCCCTCCCGCGTGCGGGATAAGGTTTAGAACGAACACTCTCCCACGACACCTAGGGAAATCCCAGACACTACAACACCCTCCTGCACATCTGTATAGATAAGCATTTCGGTGCACAGCAGAGAAAGCACAGAAAGGAATGCAGTAGCAATTAACCTGAAAGGAAAGCACTAGCAATTAACCAGATACAGATCAAACTTCCCAACCTTCATGGCAGCATAGCTGACAGGCTGCTGGGAGTAGGGGGTGGGGCTTGTTGCATGTGCCCACCCCCTGGGCTCTTTACTGCCGGGGCTCTGCTCCTGTGCGCTCCTGCAGGAAATGACCCCTGGCTGTTCCACAGGAAGCAGAAGGTGCTCCCCTCCCCCTTCCTCTCCAGAGACAAGTCAGGCCCCAGCGAGCCACAGAGAGGGGTCAGAAGTACGGCTGAAGGCCCTTCCAGACCAAAGGCTCTAGGGGAGGTTGTGTCAGCATGCCAGGCCACCCTGTGAGGGGCACCAGCTGGGCTGCCCTGGGAAGACATTCCAAACCCCGTGAATGATGGGCGTTGGTAGACCCACCCTCCGAGCCTTTGGGGGACGTCCTGTCTGTGCCGTGGGTGTCATTCCCCGCCGGGCCTCCCCGGCCTCTTTCTCT